ACTTAGCTAGGCTTATGCTCAGCTGACTTAGACTTAGCTGGCTTAGACTTAGGCTTAGACTTAGCTGGCTCAGGCTTAGGCTCAGCTGGCTCAGGCTTAGACTTAGACGTAGCTGACTTAGCTGGCTTAGCTGGCTGCCCTTAGCTGGCTTAGTAAAACGACATGCTCTAAAACCAGAAAAATTCGTTACGGTGGGTACGTTGAAATCATCGTCTAGCCGTATTTACACTTATAAAAATGAAAACCAAGCTTAAATCGACAAGCTAGACCGACAATTAGACCGCTATTTAGACCGACAAGCTAGTTAGACCTAGCTAGCTAGGCCTTTCAAAGCCCAAATCTCAATGTATTACTTACATTTTAAAACTTTCCAAACCAATTCCTTTTGTTCAAAGGGCTCTTACTGTAAAGTATCGCTTTTTTTTAGCCGACGACCCCCAATGATGTAATAGAAATGGGTGATGGGGGAAAGACAAAGGAAAGAGAGAGATATTATGCAACACATCACTCTCGGCATATCTCTCTTATCTCTTTAAAGCATTCAAGAAGACTAGGTACTTTCAATTTATTGGAGAAGGGGAACTTTCTAAGCTGGCACTATGAAAACATCGATATCATTGAAGGCTTGGCATTGAAGTGATGAGGTTTTAAAGAGCAGAGGCTCAACGCTGAGACTCCTTCTTCTTCTTCTTCTTCTGCTAGAGATAAAAAAATTTACAGTTTCTAGGCTTTAATCACGCAACTAATCAACTCAAGTAAACTCAAGTAAACTCAATAAACTTAATGGCTGTTTAATTGATTTATAAATGAATGCTTATAAATACTTTATCAAGCTATTCACGAACTTGATCAACGAGTCGTACGCTTTATTCAACTCGATATTTCTCGTTTTCTCTCGTTCATTCGCTCCCTCGCGTCGGCGTTTCCGTTTACCCTCATCGTACTTTGACATTGTCATCGTTGAATGGCTCTGAAAGTAAATCTGAAAGTAAATCTGAAAGTAAAACGCTCTGAAAGTAAATCTGAAGGTAAATCTGAAAGTAAAACGATGATTAATGAAGTAATTAAAAAGAAGAGATGATTCAAAGGAGTCAAAGGAGTCAGTCAATGGTTTTGATTGAGAACTCCTGATCTCCTGAGAACTCTTATGAACTCCAGCTCGCAAAATCTCGAGTTCATTAGAGATTTGTTCGATCTGGAGTTCACAACAGCTTCCAAAAGAAAAAAGAAATCAAAAATTTGATGTTGGATGTTTACGAAGAGCTCAAGAGAGAGTAATCCTATTGAAGTGGGGATGGAAAGGCAAAACTTTGGCAAGTGAAGAGAGGATTCGATTGAAAGGTGGGATCAAGTGGAGGGATTGGAACAGGGCAGGGCTGGGGTCCTTCACTCTACTCTAAATGGGGGGGATGGGGTGTAAACTGAGCACCAGATTTCCTCTCTTCTTTCGATGCCATTCCAAATAGGGTCAAGGTACGGTACCCAGACTCTAAATCGATCTAAAGAAAGACTATCTAGGAAAGGCTATCTAGGAAAGACTACCTAAAGATAGACTATCTATTTAAAGGTTTAAAGAAGGATGCAACTAGGGGGTTCTAGAGGTTTAAAGGTTCTAGAATGGATATAGTAATCGTTTTTGACAACTAGAAGCACAAGGGCACTGGCTGTAGCTTTAGTCTTTAGCTTTAGAAACACTTGAGCTTGATTTTGAGCAATCCAAAGCTTGAGCAATCTCCAAAGCAATCTCCAAAGCTTACGGCTTTGTGCTTTGGTGTAAACAGCAATTGTTACAAGAACTAGAACTAGAACTAGAACTAGAACAAGAACAAGAACTAGAACTAGAACTAGAACAGAACTAGAACTAGAACAAGAACAGAACTAGAACAACAATAGAAAGGATAGCCGTCAATTTGTTGAGCTTAAGAGGATTAGTGGATCTAATCAATCTTAGCCAAAAGATCAAAACAATACTTGATTACGCAATTGTTAGCAAAGAGTTAGACTGTACAAAGATAGATTGGCATTAGATAGTCTTTTAGGCTTTATAGGCATTAGATTGGTTGGCAAAAAGTTACAGTAATGCTGGCAGATACAATATCCTTTGAAAGAGAAGAGTCTAAGACTTGAAGACTAGGCTTCTAGACTAGAACTTGAAGACAAGACTTCTAGACAAGCCTTCTAGACTAGACTTGAAGCCTAGACTTCTAGCCTAGTCTTCTAGACAAGCATTCTAGCCTAGTCATCTAGCCTAGTCTTCTAGCCTATTCTTCTAGCCTATTCTTCTAGCCTAGTCTTCTAGCCTATTCTTCTAGCCTATTCTTCTAGCCTAGTCTTCTAGCCTAGTCTTCTAGACAAAACAATCTAAAAGAGAAAAATGGGTTACAGTAATGTTCATCTAATACCAAAATCATTATCCAGCTTAACTTGGAATATGAAGAGTGAGTGCGAAAAATGATCGCTGAATGGATTGTGATGGCCGAAAGATAAAGAAATTGCCGTGAATGATCCCAAAGTGATATCTGTTATCCATTAGCTTTGATCTATCACTAGACTATCACTAGAAAAACGAATCTGGCATTATACAAGGGATACTCGAAAGAGGAAAAGAGACTCTAGCGGCTTTTTTCTTTTGCTTCTTTCAACTCTCCCGGATCCATGGATGCCAATGGGGATTTACAAGCAAACTAGGCACTCACTTCGAATATATTAGTCAGATACATCTAATATGTGTATATATACATATTAAAGGGTTTTCTAGGATTAAGGAAACAAAAGAGCTTGAGGATTTAAAACAAGAATAACCTTGGAATTAAAATGACACTAAAATAGTAAAATAGAGTCTGGAGGCCATTTTGGGAACGCGTCCACTGTGGCGAGAAGGTAAGGCTTAGGTCCAAAGCCAAAGCAAGCCTTCTAAAGCTCTCTAAAGCTTTCTAAAGCTCTCCAAAGCTCTCTAAAGCTCTCTAAAGCTCTCCAAAGCTCTCTAAAGCTCTCTAAAGCTCTCCAAAGCTCTCCAAAGCTCTCCAAAGCTCTCCAAAGCTCTCTAAAGCTCTCTAAAGCTCTCCAAAGCTCTCTAAAGCTCTCCAAAGCTCTCCAAAGCTCTCTAAAGCTCTCCAAAGCTCTCTAAAGCTCTCCAAAGCTCTCTAAAGCTCTCCAAAGCTCTCCAAAGCTCTCTAAAGCTCTCTAAAGCTCCAAAGAGCTTTCTTCAAAGAAACAACTGTTAGATGGGGTTTTAAGCATGCTTCCAATCCACTTTTGCTTCCAATACACTCCAAAAGAGGATTGAGATCTGGGCTTGATTTGATAGTGATCACTGGTTAAAATCCGGGAAATTCTGTTTACACAAATCTTGAACGATGCGAGCTTTGTGTGGATGCGGAAAGAGCGGTGGATGCGAAAAGAAGCGATAAATCTTTCTCTAAAGCTTTCTAGAATGCTTTTTAGCTAATAAAATAAAATAAAGCTAATAAATGTATTTCTTGCTTAAGAATATTCAAATAATTGATATAATTGATTGGATTTTGTTTGATTTCTTGTGAAACAAAAAACAGAGGAGTCTCTCCATTGCAGCCTTTCCATTGCAGCCTTTCCATTGCAGCCTTCCATTGCAGCCTTTCCATTACAGTCTTTCCATTGCAGCCTTTCCATTGCAGCCTTTCCATTGCAGCCTTTCCATTACAGTCCTTTCCATTGCAGCCTTTCCATTGTAGCCTTTCCATTGCTAGATAGATTAAGATTCTTTTTAAATCATCTTTTATTGAATTTTATTGAATAAAGACTTTTATTGAATAAAGATTCGATATGTCAGCTCTCTTTTTCATAAAGAAAACTTCCGAATCTCACTTTTCTCTCACTCAATTGCCAATGGGGATTTACAATAAACCCTGGAGCATAAAGGTTTAACAAATTTTTTGAATGATAACCAAGCATGAATGCCAATTAAAGTTCTCCCTTCACGATTGGCTGTAAACAAGGACAAATTTCGGGTAATCCGATAGCTGAAAGGAAACAGAAATACTATAAAACGGTTATCCCTATTGTACTCAAGGGTTTAGGGATACTAGAGGAAAGGATAGGGTTCCCGGTTGCGCAATACTTTACTCAGCCTAGTCTAGAGGTGAATTTCTGGATCTAGGAAGGGAAGGAAGGAAGGAAGGAGGGAAGGAAGGAAGGAAAAGAAAGAAGGAAAGGAAAGTTAGAAGATTCTAGGGACCTTCTAGAATCGATCTAGACCTTCTAGAATCGATCCAGACCTTCTAGGATCGATTTTAATCTTCTAGAATCAATCTAGACATTCTAGGATCGATCTAGACCTTCTAGAATAGATCTAGACCTTCTAGACGACCAGACCCTAGGAGTTCTTCTAGTCAACTAGACATTCTAGGATCGATCTAGACCTTCTAGAATAGATCTAGACCATTCTAGGATCGATCTAGACCTTCTAGAATAGATCTAGACCTTCTAGAATCGATTCAGACCTTCTAGAATCGATCCAGACCTTCTAGAACCCTGGACCCAACCTGTGACCCCCTAGGATCCCGACATAAATGCCAGTACTGATCCGGGGTCTAGCCTGGGTCCAGTACTGATCATGCAGAAGGTCCAGCCTTGAACCTGGGATCTAAAAAGGCTATTGGCTTCTAGAAGAAGTGAATCTGGAACTATCTACAAGAATACACGGCTATCTGGCCATTCTCAGTCTATTTTAGTCATTCTCAATCTATTTTAGACTAGAACTGAAGTGAGCAGGGTCATGGGTCACTGAAGTGAGCAGGAGTTGAGCTCACAACCATTTCACTCTCTTCAAACTCCCCTGTGCCATCCAGATCCCCATCTACAGCTATTCGTTTCTCATTTTATGATACTAGAACGATTTTAAAGTGCTTAAACTCGTTTTGGTGCGGTTTTATGATACTAGAACCGGTTCTGCAAGGGTTTGTGCCTGAAAATCGCCCGGAAATGAAACAATTTATTGAATATTCTATTAAATATCGTATTTATTGTTTGCTCAATTGATCACAGTATTTACGAACGTTTTCCACGTCCTCGAGAAGTAATCGACCGAGAACCTGAATGGATTTGTGTTGTCTAGCTCGATTACGGTAGACTACGATAGATTACGATAGATTACGATAGATTACGGTAGATTACGATAGACTACCGGATTGAGAACACTCTTGAACATCATTCCCTTCATATCAACGCAAATCACGTATTCGTAGAAAGATTTAGACGAATCGCTTGGATGAGGAGTGATACGAGCAGCTGAGATGTACAGATGAGCACTAGAATTCGATAACATTCAAACCACAGCCAGACAACACAGCATCAGCTAGACCGGCTCTACCTCTAAACCAAGCTAGACCAAGCCAAGCCAGACCAAGCCAAGCCAGACCAAGCCAAGCTAGACCAAGCCAAACTAGACAAAGCCAAACTAGACCAAGTCAAGCTAGACCAAGCCAAGCTAGACCAAGCCCAGCTAGACCAAGCCCAGCTAGACTAAATCAAACTAGACCAAGCCAAGCTAGACAAAGGCTAGACCAAGCCAAGCTAGACCAAGCCAAGCTAGACCAAGCCAAGCTAGACTAAACCAAGCTAGACCAATCCAACAATTCCACAGCTCACAAGCAATGAATCCCTTACCGTGTCCCGTGCCCTCCCTCTTTGATCTCTTTCAATGGAGTTGACTTGGCAGCGAAAAGAATTTGACCTGGAATTAGCTATCGATTCGATTCTTTAGTCAAAACTCTTGTAGAATAGTAGCTAGAAAGCCAGAAAACTTTTTAGTAGCTAGAAAGTAGCTAGAAAAGAGACAGAAGACACAAATAACCAGAAAAGATATAAAGGAACTCAAGGTTTAGTTTTAGTCTTAAAGTCTAGCCAGTTAGCCTACCCGTGGGATCCCTGTAAACAGCTCGCGCACAAATAAACTCTCGACCGTCAACAATCAACTTTTTATTCGTAGCGTACTGAAATAATGATTTAAATATGAAAATTAGCAGACTTACATGTGCAATATCGCACTCAATCGACAGTTGGGCATGCTTTTTCGAGAATTTGTAGCTATCGTTCCACTAAATTTAAGGGAATTGCTGGATTTCGTCTACAAAGCGTCTTAGAGCGTCTTAGAGTGTCTTAGAGTGTCTTAGAGTGTCTTAGAATGTCTTAGAGCGTCTTAGAATGTCTTAGAGCGTCTTAGAGCCTCTTAGAGCGACTTAGAGTGTCTTAGAGCGTCTTAGAGCGTCTTAAAGTCTACAGAAGTGTCATTTGACCAAGCCAAAAGTCTAGTTCAGCTCTAGCTATTTCTAGAACAATCACCTAGACAGAATAAACCGTTAAACTGTAGGGTTTGTTTGCCATAATTGTCCCGTTCAAGGACAAGAACTCGTTGATTTAAACTTCATTTCTGGTTTTTTTTTGGTTTTTTATATTTGGAATATAATTGAACGTTTTTACATATAAAATGTGTTTTTTGAATGACTGAAAAATCCCCAATCGACAATCGATCATCGAATGCACATCGAATGCATCGAATTGCACAAGTGAGGCTTGTGAGTGAGACGCCGGAGATTCATAAGCGTCTTTAAGTCGACAGAAGTGTCATTTTTCGCACTATTTAACGCTACGAAGCTATGGGAACAATTGCTGAGGCATCAAGAGCTATGGGGACACTTCCTGAGACATCTAGAGCTATGGGAACAATTGCTGAGGCACCAAGAAGCGGTAGACGCTCACAAAAACAAAAATCAAGCGAGTGAGGGACCGAATTGGGTGCCGTCGCCAGTCGGCAAGCTAAATGGCAAAGATGGCAAGGAAGATGGCAAGGAAGATGACGATTTCAAGCACCTTATTGCGTCGGATCATCAGCTCTGCTACTTACAAGAAAAAGGCTCAACTTTTTGGGCTCAACAAGGCTCAACTTTTTCGAATACCGCTAAAAACAAGCGAAAATTGAGAGCAGATGAGTTATTGATGGGTTTCAATGGAATCGATCATTGCAAAGAATCGATCATTGCAAAGAATCGATCATTCAAATGAAATGGATCATTGCAAATGGAATCGATGATTAGCTTCTTGTTGTTCACAACAAGCTCTTGTTCACCGATGAAAAGATACTGTTAAAGGCTATCTTAACAAGCAAAATGATCGAGTATGGGCTAAAACTAAAACTGCTACGAATGCTAATAGATCCAGCTTCTGTGATGGCGAGATTATGGAAAGATTCCCTCTGTTCCCCAAGACGTGAAAGTCAATTTCAATTATTGATTTCAATTATTAATTTCAATTACTATAGCCTTTCTCACCTTTACAGCGTCTTCAACATTCAAAAAGATTGCATGAAGCGCTTTCTCGGCTGATAGATTTAGAGAAGTCTAAAGTTAGATTTGGTTAGCTTTGGGTAGCTTTGGTTAGCTTTGGTTAGCTTTGGTTGGCTTTGGGTAGCTTTGGTTGGCTTTGGTTGGCTTTGGTTAGCTTTGGGTAGCTTTGGGTAGCTTTGGGTAGCTTTGGTTAGCTTTGGGTGCCTTGGGAGCTTGGGTAGCTGGGTAGCTTTGGTTACTTTGGTTGGCTTTGGGTAGCTTTGGGTAGCTTTGGGTAGCTTTGGTTAGCTTTGGGTAGCTTTGGGTAGCTTTGGTTAGCTTTGGTTGGCTTTGGTTAGCTTTGGGTAGCTTTGGGTAGCCTTTGGGTAGCTTTGGTTAGCTTTGGGTAGCTTTGGTTAGCTTTGGGTAGCTTTGGGTAGCTTTGGGTAGCTTTGGGTAGCTTTGGGTAGCTTTGGTTAGCTTTGGGTAGCTTTGGGTAGCTTTGGGTAGCTTTGGTTAGCTTTGGGTAGCTTTGGTTAGCTTTGGTTGGCTTTGGTTAGCTTTGGTTGGCTTTGGTTGGCTTTGGTTAGCTTTGGTTAGCTTTGGGTAGCTTTGGGTAGCTTTGGTTGGCTTTGGTTAATCTAGATATCTCTAATATATGATATTTATAATATATTTAATATAATAGATATCAAATATCATCTATTTTTTGAGATATTAAAAAGGAAACCTTTCCAGCAAAATATCGTCCATTCTTTCGATCATTGTAGTACATTTTCGTAGTCTCATTTGAGTGATCAGGCTAAAAAGATAAGGAAAAATGAATCCATCAAATGAATCCATCAAATGCTAAAGCTAATGTTGAGCATAATTAAATGTTGAGCAATGAAGCAATGGTAACTAACGTTGAGCAATGAATCAAAGTACATCAGCTTTCCGATAAATTACCCAAGAAAAATCCAAGTACCAAAAAAACTAAACCAAGTCACTATAAATTGTACACGAATGCACTCGGTGACATCCAGAACAACCATTTCAGCGAATATTCATCAGATTTCAATCATTTACACGTGGATTTACAATGGATACAATGGATGAATGGATTTTGAATGAATTTCTCTTTTAAATGGTCTTAATTTGAAAAGATTTGCTGATAAATTTGTGCCCACGGGTTTTCAAAATCGCTGAAACGATTAGCAGTCGACGTTTTATCATAAAGAAAAAGAACCGGAAAATGCACTCACTTTCCATCCACTCATCTCAACATTGTAGCCGGATTCAGCAAAAATCAAAGCCGTTTCCTCTAAAGCTTCTCGGCAATGGGTAAAGGCTTCTTTGTACTAAAAAAAGTTTAATAACTATTGGATAGATCAGTCTATTTGCTAGATCATAGACTTGATAGATCAGAATTGATAGATCAGAATTGATAGATCAGACTTGATAGTCTACGCGCTGGCTACAAACTACAAACTACAAAGTTGGCTACAACCCACTGTACCTTCCTTTAGCATTAATATTTTCCAGTATACTTTTAGTTCATTCAAAAGCTCTTGAAATTCTCTATCTTTTGAGCTATAGATCATCATGATCCAATAGATTTAAAGCAAGTTAGAAGCTTTTAAAGTTTATGCTTGTAGTTTGTCGTGCCAATTTTTGTGCTCTACAAATCTCCGCACTTAGTAAAAGTGTAAAATATTGTATTTTCTCTAATAGTAGTGCACCATGAGCGTCGTCTAAATTCCTTGAAATCTCGAGAAGCGCTTATGAGAACCTATCGATGTGGGGTCGGAAAATGTAGCTGACGATCTGATCTAGTGGGGGATTTGAGTGTTGAGTTTCTGGGAAAGCTTGGAAACCATAAAATCGTCATCAACTCGGCTTGATTGGGTGCACTACTATTAGAGGTACTTAGTTAGCTCCTTGTTAGATCCTTAGCTCCTTAGTTAGCTGTTTAGTTAGCTGCTTAGTTAGCTGTTTAGTTAGCTGCTTAATTAGCTGCTTAGTTAGCTCCTTAGCTCCTTAGTTAGCTGCTTAGTTAGCTCCTTAGCTAGCTGCTTAATTAGCTGCTTAGTTAGCTCCTTAGCTCCTTAGTTCCTTAGCTCCTTAGCTCTTGTTAACTCCTTGTTAGCTTCTTAATTAGCCTTGTACTAGACTTCAGACTTCAGAAATAAGCTACAATAATCCTGGCTATCTTTTAAAGTGCCTCAAAATTTGCCTAGTCATCAACTCATCAATGGAATGCTATTAGAGTGCCTAAGCATCAACTCATCACTACTATTAGAGAGAATACAGAAAAGCTTTCCTTTAAAATATTCCCTTTAAAGAAAGCTTTACCTGAATCATTTCTTCATTCAAAACATAGTTTTTTCCTTGAAAATCAAATGAATCGCACATTTTTGAAGGTAAACCTGAAAGATAATGATTTAAATACAATCTAAATGTTAGAATAAACATTAAACTTGATAGATAATGATCTAAATCCAATTCTAAATGCTAAATTGGCCGTTAAACTTGAAAGATAATAATCAAAATACAATTCTAAATGTTAAAATAAACATTAAACTTGAAAGATAATGATCTAAATGCTAAAATGCCCGTTAGACTTGAGAAATAATGATCTAAATACAATCTAGAGGCTAAAATAAACGCTAAACTTGAAAGGTAATGATCTAAACACAAATCTAAATGCTAAATTGCCCGTTAAACTTGCGAAATAATGATTTAAATACAATCTAAATGCTAAAATAAACATTAAACTTGAAAGGTAATGATCTAAATACAATCTAGAGGCTAAAATAAACGCTAAACTTGAAAGGTAATGATCTAAATCCAATCTAAATGCTAAAATAAACATTAAACTTGAAAGGTAATGATCTAAATCTAATCTAAAGGCTAAAATAAACATTAAACTTGAAAGGTAATGATCTAAATACAATCTAAATGCTAAAATAAACGCTAAACTTGAAAGGTAATGATCTAAATACAATCTAAATACAACCTAAATCCAATTCTAAATGCTAAATTGGCCGTTAAACTAAATGCTAAACGCTAAATGGTAAATATATAAATTTATAAAGATAACAAGAAAGATTTGTAAAGATAACATTAAAGAATTTAAAGAAAACATTAAAGAAAACAATTTTAAAGCCAAAAAACCCAACAAAAATAGTCTAAAATTTGAAATTTATGTTGTATTTGCAGAAAGTATGAGAAAAGAAGAGAGATTGGCGAAATTTGGCGAAATTTGACGAAAAATAGAGAAAATGAGTGGATTTGCCTCTTTTCTATGGTTTATGACAGTTGTTTAATCTTTTTTTTGAAAGAACTTTGCAAAAGGGACAACTAATCCTCAATAAATCCAATGATAAATCCAATTAAACCTATATTAAACGAATAAAATGAGAAAATAAAAGAACACTAATAAAATAAAGCTTTTAAAGACGAAAATAAAGCTATAGCTTTTAAAATAAAGCTGTAGCATCTAAAATAAAGCCTTGGCATCTAAAATAAAGCTGTAGCATCTAAAATAAAGCTCTGGCATCTAAAATAAAGCTGTAGCATCTAAAATAAAGCTGTAGCATCTAAAATAAAGCTCTGGCATCTAAAATAAAGCTATGGCATCTAAAATAAAGTCTTGGCATCTAAAATAAAGCCTTGGCATCTAAAATAAAGCTATGGCATCTAAAATAAAGCTATGGCATCTAAAATAAAGCTATGGCATCTAAAATAAAGTCTTGGCATCTAAAATAAAGCCTTGGCATCTAAAATAAAGCTATGGCATCTAAAATAAAGCTGTAGCATCTAAAATAAAGCTCTGGCATCTAAAATAAAGCTGTAGCATCTAAAATAAAGCTGTAGCATCTAAAATAAAGCTATGGCATCTAAAATAAAGCCTTGGCATCTAAAATAAAGCCTTGGCATCTAAAATAAAGCCTTGGCATCTAAAATAAAGCCTTGGCATCTAAAATAAAGCTATGGCATCTAAAATAAAGCTATGGCATCTAAAATAAAGCTATGGCATCTAAAATAAAGCTATGGCATCTAAAATAAAGCTATGGCATCTAAAATAAAGCTGTAGCATCTAAAATAAAGCTCTGGCATCTAAAATAAAGCTGTAGCATCTAAAATAAAGCTATGGCATCTAAAATAAAGCTATGGCATCTAAAATAAAGCTATGGCATCTAAAATAAAGCTGTAGCATCTAAAATAAAGCTCTGGCATCTAAAATAAAGCTGTAGCATCTAAAATAAAGCTGTAGCATCTAAAATAAAGCTGTAGCATCTAAAATAAAGCTCTGGCATCTAAAATAAAGCTGTAGCATCTAAAATAAAGCTATGGCATCTAAAATAAAGCTGTAGCATCTAAAATAAAGCTCTGGCATCTAAAATAAAGCTGTAGCATCTAAAATAAAGCTGTAGCATCTAAAATAAAGCTATGGCATCTAAAATAAAGCTATGGCATCTAAAATAAAGCTATGGCATCTAAAATAAAGCTGTAGCATCTAAAATAAAGCTCTGGCATCTAAAATAAAGCTGTAGCATCTAAAATAAAGCTATGGCATCTAAAATAAAGCTATGGCATCCAAAATAAAGCTGTAGCATCTAAAATAAAGCTCTGGCATCTAAAATAAAGCTGTAGCATCTAAAATAAAGCTGTAGCATCTAAAATAAAGCTGTAGCATCTAAAATAAAGCTCTGGCATCTAAAATAAAGCTGTAGCATCTAAAATAAAGCTATGGCATCTAAAAATAAAGCTATGGCATCTAAAATAAAGCTGTAGCATCTAAAATAAAGCTCTGGCATCTAAAATAAAGCTGTAGCATCTAAAATAAAGCTATGGCATCTAAAATAAAGCTATGGCATCTAAAATAAAGCTGTAGCATCTAAAATAAAGCTCTGGCATCTAAAATAAAGCTGTAGCATCTAAAATAAAGCTATGGCATCTAAAATAAAGCTATGGCATCTAAAATAAAGCTGTAGCATCTAAAATAAAGCTCTGGCATCTAAAATAAAGCTGTAGCATCTAAAATAAAGCTATGGCATCTAAAATAAAGCTATGGCATCTAAAATAAAGCTGTAGCATCTAAAATAAAGCTCTGGCATCTAAAATAAAGCTGTAGCATCTAAAATAAAGCTGTAGCATCTAAAATAAAGCTATGGCATCTAAAATAAAGCTTTTAAAGAAGAAAATGAACAAATAAAGCTAGATAAAAGGATAATATCTGTTTTTTGATTAAACAATCGTCAAATTTTAAAAGAAATCGAAAAGAATCGAAAATTGCGAAAATTGCGGTTTTTCTCAATCGGAGAAACGAGAAATGAGAAATTTCTAACAGAAAGAGAGACAAGAAAAGATTTGAGAGATCTTTGTTAAGACAGAAATATTGTCAAAGTAAAGATTGTCAAAGCACACAAAGTAAAGATCTTTAAAACACCATTTGTCTGAGTTTTGGCATCGATTTGGAAAAGGTTGCATTGAGGTTGCGGTCTTGTTCTTGTTCTTGTTCTTGTTCTTGTTCTTGTTCTTGTTCTTGTTCTTGTTCTTGTTCGGCGGAGATAATTTGCATCTAAGTGGTTCCAGATTTTGATCAATTCTCGACGTAAATCATGCAAATTGTTGATTTTCCTATTTCGCAATTCTTCTTCCATAAAACCCCCAAACAGTGTGAGGTTTTGCGTTGTCGTGTCAAAATCTGACTCCGGTTTGAGCCCCAATTTCTTCAAAGACTCGTTAACTCTCATTAATTGCTTCGAATAAAGATCAGCATTGCCCAAGCTACCAAGCGCCAAGCCATCGAGCGCCAAGCTATCAAGCCCAGCGCCAAGCTATCAAGCCCAGCGCCAAGCTATCAAGCCCAGCGCCAAGCTATCAAGCCCAGCGCCAAGCTATCAAACCCAGCGCCAAGCTATCAAGCCCAGCGCCAAGCTATCAAACCCAGCGCCAAGCTATCAAGCCCAGCGCCAAGCTATCAAGCGCCAAGCTATCAAGCGCCAAGCTATCAAGCGCCAAGCTATCAAGCGCCAAGCTATCAAGCGCCAAGCTATCAAGCGCCAAGCTATCAAGCGCCAAGCTATCAAGCGCCAAGCTATCAAGCGCCAAGCTATCAAGCGCCAAGCTATCAAGCGCCAAGCTATCAAGCGCCAAGCTATCAAGCGCCAAGCTATCAAGCGCCAAGCTATCAAGCGCCAAGCTATCAAGCGCCAAGCTATCAAGCGCAACACCAAAAGATCAATGAGACAAATCACCCCACGTTTAGCGACTTTTGTCAGAAAGATTTTTCACGAGAAACTAAAGATTAAAAGCTACAAAATCTATAAATCTGACTCACTACTGCAAACAT